TCATTTGTTGAACTTCCGATTCTGCAGCACCAGCTGGCCAATCTCTGCACTCACGACCTAACGTGATTAGAACCCTACACAAGTCTTAAACTTGTTAGGACACCTTGACCCAGTCCTCTCCTGACTCAAAATTAGCAAGCCTGTAGTCCTGTCTGATTGTGTATCTTATAGTAGCTGCAGACAAGTAGCACCTCCTTTATGAAACCCTAGGTAGAGCTAAGGGTCACGACCGAAAAGAGTGAGGTCTTGGATGGCGCGAGCTGACATATAATCAAATGGCACCATCAGGACTTAAACTGTCTGCTGAAGATAAGGACAAAGCGCTTATTGTTAAGGTTAAAGTCGAGAGGATCGACTTTATTGCACCAAGTTTTATTCCATATGGCTTGTTATCGCTCAGCAGAATGGCTACGATACCGTAAAAACTGCACTCGGAACTGAAGGGCGCAGCAGTGAAACGAACCCACGACCTTCAAAACGCGTGGAAAACGGCTTGGCGAATTCGCCACGGAGACCCATGTTGTTGTTGTTGTTGTTGTTGTTATCGATCCAGCGGCGCATGAGCTTTCGCCCTTTGGCCCAATGCCATGTAGTGGAATTTGCATGTTTTCACAAGCTGTTCTTTTCCTCCGTACAAGGTGTTCCACTTGTCTGGTCTCGGAGGGAGTAGCGCTCTTCTTGTCTCACTGAGTTTTGGGCACTCAAAGAGATGGTGTTCAACAGTTTCGTAGGGGTAGTTACATAGCTGGCACTCTGGGGAGTGTTGTGGCTGTATTCTGTTTAGGTGTCCATTGAGTGGAGTATGTTGCGTTCTAAGTCTGAAGATGGTGGCCTGGTCCCTTCTTGTTAGATGGTTAATGCACCACGGAGACCCATAGAGCGCTAGAACGTCCCGAGTACTGTGACATCAGTCCTTAGCTCAGCTCAACTTCACGTCCAATGAAGTCGACTCGTTAAAGGCCAACTGAAGTCAACAGATTTGGCCGACATTTCATATCTAGGTTACTGTCACTATCATCATGAAGCATGTCCTCTAAAGGAAACCTGATTTCTAGCCAGTTATCCCGCTTCGTGCAATTTCTTATCCAAGGTTAGTTGCGTATCCTTTACAGGACGTTGCAGAACCAACCCCATCAGCCCCTGGCTATTCTGTTGTTTCTCTAGGCAAATTTAAGTCCAGTAGTTTGCCATTGCTTACTGGATGGTCGGCCCCCTGATACCACTGTCGAAACCGGCACCCCAGCATTACGAAGCGTTCGCATCGACTTGGCCACAAAGCCGACTCTTATCCAAGATGTCTCCCAAATCCTGTGCTCTGGTACATCCTGTGCCCATCGGTATGCTAATCGGCCCCTGTCCCTCTTTCCCGGTACACGCCTTTCGTTACTGTCCAAACTACCATGGAGCTTGGTATAGCCAAAATATTTCAGTTTTCGAAACAGTAGTCTTTTGTTTTAGTATATGCAAGAATGCCAAGCCTATGAATGAAGATCTTAGTAAGATCAACGAATTACTCTTTGCAGATGACCAGGCCTTGATAGCAGATACAACCATGAAATTGCAACAACATCTAACATCCATGAATGAAGAATGTAAAACAAATAATATGAAAATCAACACTGAAAAGACAGAAGTAATGTCAATAGGAAAAAAGAAGACAGATCTAAACATAACAATAGAATACAAAGGCATTAAACAGGCATCTGAGTTTAAATATCTGGGAACTACATTTACCGAAGATGGGAAATTGGATAAAGAAATTGACATTAGATGCAGTAAAGCAAACCAAGTATTGGGACAGCTAGCCCCCCTCTTACAGCATAAGACAATCCCAGTCAGCACAAAGAGACATCTTATTCAAAGCATATTTATTCCAACTCTGTGCTACCAGTGCCAGACATGGTCACTCACAACAAACCATAAAAGAAAATTATTAACCACGGAAATGAGATGTCTGAGAAGGGCTGTAGGAGTGACCAAGAAGAAGAAGAAGAAGAAGAAGAAGAAGTCTTTTGTTTCTGCTTTTTGTGTTCGCTTTCAGATTTACATCGACAGACAAGTTCTTGTGACATTTTATATGAGTTTCCTTGATGATCATCTCATTCACCGTCTTTTTTAGGAGGAAATTTTTCGTTATTTGAAGTCCCACCCTGGCTTTGGCCGGGGCCGCAATATAGCCTGGCCATAAATATGACCAATTGTCTGAACGCGGTTTCTGGGACCTCTCCACGGTGATCCTCATCCACATGGTGGCACATTGTGTCATCGGGTGTTTATCGCTTGTGTGACATCCTGGTGGGGTAGAAAGTCAGTCAGTCAGTCAGTCAGTCAGTCACGAGTTCCCTTTTAGTTCCATACAACTTTATGTACAGTGTTGTCTAATTGGGCCAGTATTCACTCCTTAAAGGGCTGTACAACTGACATTCCATTCTTGCAGGACATGTTCTGTAGTCTGCACACACAGCCCGCAAAGGCAAATTGGTGAACTACTTAGAAGAAGCCTGTGCATATGTTTGTTAAGTTTGTTATGTCCTGTCCTGTCCTGGGACGTAGAATAATGACCTGTCCATGTCGGTCAAGAAAGTGGTAGTCATCTCTGGATGGCCCTTTTTTTTCTGCATCATGTAAGCAGGTATCTATGACTGTTGGTGATAGTTTTCCTGGATCGTGCTAAGAGCAGCTGTTTGTTGATTAAAGTCATTATCTGTATTGTGTCGCTGACTTGCTCCTAAGATACAGGGGTATAGGATAGTGATATTTTCATGGGAAGATCTGCTTGATACTGTCTTTTCAATATTTTCCCCTGATAGACAAAGCTGCTACACTTGAGACTCCCCAATGCAAGATCATCTACGTTAGCATTTCATTGGGTATGACTGCATGCAATTAAACGTCTCCATGTGGATAATAGTCTTCGTGTCTCTGGGGCAATATCTTTTGTCCAGTTCTTTTATGCATCTCCAGGATTGGTGCAGTTTTCATGGATCCTGTGATAATTCCAAGGCTTGATTTTGCGCTCTGTCTAACGATTGTAGTTGGCAATTAGCAGCTGACAAAACTATTGCATCAAACTCCAACTTGAGTCTTATCGCTCCATTATAAACGTTCTTCAGCGTTTTTACATTTGCTCCCCAGTTTGTACGTGCCAGTTTTCTAAGTAGCTCTAGTTATCTCCTAGACTTCCCTTCTACATATTTTATATGTTTGCTTCACTTGAGCCTTTTCTCAAATGTCACTCCAAGATAAGTGGGGAAGATTTCTTTTTTTTTTTTTTTTAAAGCAAGGATGTTCCTAGGTGGATACCAGCAGCCTTTTCCTTGGGGGAAAAAGAGACAAGCGTTGTGAATGTTTTGTCTGTGTTGATGCCAGGATGCCCCTTTTCTGCCCATGTCATTAAGAGATGTGCTGCTCACTGTATTCTTAGGTTTGCCACTGTGGTGTGTTCATCAGTACATCAGAGTTGCGTCCATTGTATTCTGACTCGTCTGCTATTTTAGATTTTCCCCCGTCAAACTGTAAGCAAAATATTGTCTTCTATCCAACATTTGGACGACTTTGCGGATGTTTGCGGCTAGGTCTGGTGATTATGGGTAACTTCCGGTAAGTTGAGGACTTGATTTAGCGCTCCCCACTCAGTCTTATCTCACAGCAGCGATGGCAGCCACAGACCAACAAATGGAGGTAAATCATTTTATTCTCCGCTATCTCAACTCTGTGGTATTTGTTTTAATGGAAAACATTTACAGAGCGAATTACAAAACTTTAGATTTAATAATTATCATTTATTAAAATAACATGGCAAATGGTGAAAACATTTTCACACGCACAACGTAAAACATGGAAGTCGGCATGGCATGCTCATGGTGGGGGAACATAAAAGCGGAGCGCATGGGTGGGCTTTGAATACCGCCAAGCCTCTTTATTACTACTGACTCCTAATGTATTATTACTTAAAATTTGTATTACTATTGGTTGTAGTAATAGCTGTGACTGCTTCGCTTCTGATAGTTCATTATTCTTCTAGGTGCCATTTAAATTAGTGTTTACTTTATTAATGATTGAGAAACTATAGCTTTCTTTCTTTAAAAGTGAGTCTGATACTGATACATGTAGAATGTAGCATTGTAGTAGTAGTAGAGCACAAAATGTCAAACTTAAGTACCCGAGTACCAGCTCGTAGCTGTCCATGTTTTGTGCAGGTGTATCAAATCGGCCGATAAAAGAATGACATCGCTTTAGATGGAAAATGACTCTAAGAAAGTGTCAGCATTGTTGAAATGCACATTTACCACTTTCCGACTAAGAGTTGTTTAAGGCTTAAGGACCTCTGTTCTGTTCAGGTATAAAGTAGAGGACAGAATTCATATCTGATTTCAATCTCTGAGCTGTGTTTAGTTTTTCCAGTTGCAATGCTTTAAAAAAATCATTTAGTATGTATTTTAATTACTTTTTTATCACAATAGTTTCAGTTTGAATGGACTTAATCCATCATTCGTCATAGAAAGTGCACACCTTCACCACTTTTATCATTTATGGCTTCTGATTGTTGCTTGTTGTAGTATGCACTGTTTGGTCAGCATATTTGATAGCAACAGTACAAACCTGTCTGTCTGTCTGATATTCAATATTATAGTTTACGGATGCATGCAAAATTCAAGTTGTGTTTGTCAAGATTAAAGCCCAGAAGAAGAGAACAACCAGAACTGAGTTACAGCTAGTAAGCTCTAAATAACAGACTGAGAACATGCCGAACCCCCGCACCCCCCCCCCCCTAAAAATGGCTGAGGCCTCTACACAGGTTTGGCGCATTTACTAATTATTCATAATTAAAAGACCAGTTAAAGATACATTCTTTCATGTTTTAAAAAAATGTTTGCACCCTGTTAATTTTTAAAAATGTGCGGCAAATGTTATATTGGTGATTTTGGCCAAATAATATAAGTTCATAAGTTATCTCTGCATTACATATATGTTATTTTATTCATCCCCCAGTGTATTAGCCCAAATGGCACCTGTGATACCAACATTAAAGCTCCACTTAAAGAAGATATCAAAGAAAGCCCAGCCGAAAAACCAACGGAAAATGGGAATGTGGCTGTCGAAGATATGACCTCAAAGGACTACTATTTTGATTCCTATGCACACTTTGGCATTCACGAGGTCAGTACATTGCATTTATCTGACCATTATTATATATACAGTTGTTGCATTAGTTACCTAAGTATATACAGACACTATGCAAAATATGGTTTTAATGGCGCACGAGTAGTAACCTATATCTGCTACTTTCTTCTAACCCAAGTCCGAGTCCGAAAAATCTCAACACAATGCACATGCTCTGTAGCGCTGGCAAGGATCCTGAAACACTTATATTTTTAGCCCTAAATTTTGGTCTCAGCAGCACTGTTAGGCTACTCTTTTCAATTTTTAACTGCTAAGAGATTTTTACGTGTGGAACTTGCTATGTACACGGGCGTCCGATCTCACTAGCCATAGACCAGTGGAAATTACTAGAAGTTTAAGTCCAGGTTAAAAAAATCCCAGTCTTACTATGGATTGGACCTGAAACCTCTAGCACTCGAGGCCTACACCATGCCTCAAGACCATACAGCCACCCGCCGAAATATTATTTTTCAAATGATACATGTTTTTTTTAATGAAAATGAAATATGTTGTTAAACAAAATAATTGAGATGTATTGATCAGCCATACACTGCCATCTTTAGAATACAGCATCCTGTGCGGGTTCCAGCTCCTAATTTTTGGGCAAACAAGAATAAACCAACCACCTCCCCACCTGTAGTGTCGTAAAAGACGACTCAGCCAGGATTGGATGTGTTGAGCTAAAAGGGACAGATAATTTTGCCTAGTAAACAACATGCCACCCACCCTTTTAAGGACGAATGCAGATCAGCCTTTGGCTGTCACCATTAAGTCACTGCATTAAGTCACTGCATTTGACAGGTTACCATCAGACTTAGGAATAACTTGAGAGTAGAGAAACATGCTGTGAAAGTGATCATGAACTTACATGATAATCAAAAGAGGAATGTGGCACATAAAAAAAAAATTTGACAGTATCCAGTATGAGAAAGACAATTGTGTTCAGTCAAACCGGTCTATTAGTTAATCATGTTCACTGAAACTTTATGGGTCGTACAGAGCGCCAAGCAGGAAAAATGGAAAATAATGTTCCCACCCCTAAATAAGTTACTTCTTCTTCTTCAGCGATCTCTGGTCATGCGCATAATCCACTGTGGGTCATAAACTGGGATGTCTTTTCAAGGTCTCTTAGGTTTCCCCAAAGCTTAGTTGTCAGTTCTACTGGGTGTTGTCATATGTCGCTCCGCAGCTCGGCCAGGAGAGGACAGTCTTGCAGGACATGTTCTGGAGTCTGTTCAGCATGAAGGCACCGGCAGAGAGCTGTTTGGCTCATACCTAATTTGAGTGTTTATTGAGTCTGCAGTGTCCAGTGCGTAAGCGAAAAACTGTGACTTGGTCTGTTCTGTTCAAATGTTTCAGAAAATCTTTTTTGTAGTTATAACCAGTGTTGGTTTTCCAATCTGTTTCTGATTTTCTCTTAATGAGAGTTTTGACTTCTGGAAAAGACAGTGGCTGGTAGGTCTGTGGTTTGTTACTGCCTTCCTTGGCTAAAGCATCTGCGCTTTCATTGCCTTTGATGCCACAGTGTGACGGAATCCACTGCAAGTGAAAAATAAGTTACAAGCTGGGTGTTGTGAGGGCCCTTTGGGAGCGAGTTAACAGTGTTGAGGCACAGAGGAGACTAGCACTGCCATGAGTTACAAGGGGGTCTGGACGTCGCTTAACACTCACTCAGGGGGGGAGGCGAAGGTGAGACATACAATCCAGACTGGTAGCATCTGAATTTTAGCTCTTCGCTTACTGCTGAAGATGAGTACGTAGTGTTTCAAGATACCCACATTTAATTATTTTGATATATTTTCACTTACCATTCAGTAATATGCATGACTAAATGCAAATCATCATTTGCAGGAAATGCTGAAAGATGAGATTCGAACACTCACCTACAGAAACTCAATGTATTACAACAAGCATTTGTTTAAAGGCAAGGTTGTGTTGGATGTCGGCTGTGGTACCGGCATTCTCTGCATGTTTGCTGCAAAGGCTGGAGCAGCCAAAGTTATCGGGGTAAGCTACAGCGGCAGTCTTATCAGAGTGTTTACACTGTGGCCCAGACACTGAACACACTTTAGTGCTGTGGTTACACTGTGGCCCAGACACTGGACACACTTTAGTGCTGTGGTTACACTGTGGCCCAGACACTGGACACACTTTAGTGCTGTGGTTACACTGTGGCTCAGACACTGGACACACTTTAGTGCTGTGGTTACACTGTGGCCCAGACACTGGACACACTTTAGTGCTGTGGTTACACTGTGGCCCAGACACTGGACACACTTTAGTGCTGTGGTTACACTGTGGCCCAGACACTGGACACACTTTAGTGCTGTGGTTACACTGTGGCCCAGACACTGGACACACTTTAGTGCTGTGGTTACACTGTGGCCCAGACACTGGACACACTTTAGTGCTGTGGTTACACTGTGGCCCAGACACTGGACACACTTTAGTGCTGTGGTTACACTGTGGCCCAGACACTGGACACACTTTAGTGCTGTGGTTACACTGTGGCCCAGACACTGGACACACTTTAGTGCTGTGGTTACACTGTGGCCCAGACACTGGACACACTTTAGTGCTGTGGTTACACTGTGGCCCAGACACTGGACACACTTTAGTGCTGTGGTTACACTGTGGCTCAGACACTGGACACACTTTAGTGCTGTGGTTACACTGTGGCCCAGACACTGGACACACTTTAGTGCTGTGGTTACACTGTGGCCCAGACACTGGACACACTTTAGTGCTGTGGTTACACTGTGGCCCAGACACTGGACACACTTTAGTGCTGTGGTTACACTGTGGCCCAGACACTGGACACACTTTAGTGCTGTGGTTACACTGTGGCCCAGACACTGGGCACACTTTAGTGCTGTGGTTACACTGTGGCTCAGACACTGGACACACTTTAGTGCTGTGGTTACACTGTGGCTCAGACACTGGACACACTTTAGTGCTGTGGTTACACTGTGGCTCAGACACTGGACACACTTTAGTGCTGTGGTTACACTGTGGCCCAGACACTGGACACACTTTAGTGCTGTGGTTACACTGTGGCTCAGACACTGGACACACTTTAGTGCTGTGGTTACACTGTGGCCCAGACACTGGACACACTTTAGTGCTGTGGTTACACTGTGGCCCAGACACTGGACACACTTTAGTGCTGTGGTTACACTGTGGCCCAGACACTGGACACACTTTAGTGCTGTGGTTACACTGTGGCCCAGACACTGGACACACTTTAGTGCTGTGGTTACACTGTGGCCCAGACACTGGACACACTTTAGTGCTGTGGTTACACTGTGGCCCAGACACTGGACACACTTTAGATCTCCTGTTTAGTTCCAGCTGTAGGCTGCTTTATGTTAAGTGTGCAAATGGTATGCAGATTGATCCAATCATTGTTGCGTCTTGTTCTTCATTTCCTGCTGTTTGCATTTTTGTTGAATCGAAAGATTTGTTTAAGAAAAAATTGTAATTAGTCTACATCTCTTAGTTGTGCTGCAGATTTCCGAGCCATAATAGACAACAGTTATCATCAGCGTTTTGTAAGTTATGATTTTAGAGAAACGCCAAACAGCTGGTAACACAAAGTAGATCATCTTGCTTGATTTCGGTATAAAAAATTTTTTTGTTGAATGCTGTATCATATTTAAGATTGTAAATTGCTTTTAAAGTATTGTTTTTCTATAAATGATAGTTGTAGCTATGCGATGTAAATTACTTCTTTTGTATTTCTGTTGTTTGGTCTTCCCCATGTAGTATAGGCCATGATTCAACCTTCACAAAGCTTTCTAATTTTTGCCAACTGGTATCAAGCATCACACCCTTTTTCCTTCTTGTCTAACCTGTCTGTTTAGGTATGTCTGTAATTATGTTCTCTGTGTGTTTTTGTATCCCTGTGTTTGGCACATTAGGTTAATTTTAAATGTGTATAAATGTTTTGACTGTTAAGGTTATTTTAGAAGGGGAGGGGGTGTTTGTTATTGTTCACATTTGCAGTTGAATTAGTAAATCAACATTTTTAGCTGAAGGTTTACAGCTGTTTTTTGTTGTTGTTGCATCACGCTTTATGTACACTTACTTTATTGCACAATATACTGTTTCTTCCACTCAGATTGAATGTTCCAGTATCATTGATTATGCCCAGAAAATTGTTGCTGCCAATGGACTTGACAATGGTTAGTATCTTTATAAGCCCACCACTTAGGTATTTATATTTATAGCCCACCTAGACTGTCAGTGGTTAAGCTGTCTACTCTGTCATCTAAACTAAGATTGATTTGAGAACTGATAGCATCAGATTCAGAAATCTTGGTCATAGTAGATTTTGATTGTTGAAGCATCACCATGTGTCGGGTCACTAGTTTCTGTTGACTGTCTGGTCAGTTGCGATGGACTTTATGGCTGCATGCCTAAGGTCTGTCCAGTCAGTCAGGTTCTGTAACCAGGTCTTTCCTTTGCCTCTACTGAGCCCTGCAGTATTGTTTTTGATAGGCCGTTCAATTTTATTGATAGTTGAATGCTGTGTCCTATTGCTTTAAATGTACCATCTTCTTTTGAGTAGTTTAGTTATTTATTGTAAATCACGCTGTTGTATTTCGTGTAGTATAGGCCATAGCGGTGTCGGATCTGTGGGTAAGTCGATGCAAATGCTTTGTAAAGCCGGGATGCTGAGTTCGATCCCAGCTGCGGGCCATGTGCCTTGTGTTGGTTTTGAGAGTGGTATCAAGAAAGTTGACTATCCAGAAAGCAGTGGCAAACTAATCGACGTAAATCTGCATAGAAAAACCACACAACAGCCAGAGACTGTCGGGGTTGGTTCTGCAGCGTCCTGTAAAGGATATACAACTAACCATATAGGCCATAGGCGTGGCCTCTGCAGCTCTGTACAAATGAGGTATCAACTAGGATTTAATATTTTTTTTATATAATCACCTTATACAAGGGAATGGAATTTTTCTTTTTAACAATAAAATATTTTATCAAGCAGAGTAACATTATTGTAAGAGCAGCCATGATGTTATAGTCAGGAAAATAATAGTATAAAAAATCTTGAGTATTTCTAAAATCTTAGCAAGCCCACGATGTCTACACACTGCATTTGCAGCCAGCCCCAAAACTGTCACCCCTGCCTAAAGACGCTTCTTGAAAAAAACAAAAACAGATTTCAGATTAACGATGCCAGATGATAAGTCATTACTGCTCCACATGTGGATTCTTGCTGAATATCTTCGTTTATATCACCAGTGATCTCGTTGGTCAAGGGCAAGGTGGAAGAGGTGAGTCTGCCGGACGGTATCGATAAAGTGGACATCATCATCTCTAGCGCATGACATAGATATACATTGTTACATTTTATAAAGAAGAATATACAAATTCAGTTAACTGATAATGCCTCTGCAGGAAAAATCTGTTTTATGTGGACATGAAGCATGTGTGAGTACAGGAAATAATACTAGCCAGAAAAAGACGTGAAAGACTTGGACTGTAACTTAATATTAGGTAAAGCTGTGTTGGACATTAAGTCCCTCAGGTGAGTTGGATCCTATAAGATCAGTTGTTCTCAACCTTGCTAATGCAGCAACCCTTTACAGTTCCTTATGTTGTGGCGGCCCCAAACCACTCAATTATAGTTGTGTTGCTACTTTATAACTTTTTTTTGCGAAGGTCTGTAGTGACCCCTGCGAAAGGGTCGTTTGACCACGCACAAAAAGTCTCAACTCATAGGTTGAGAACCTCTGCATTAGATAAATAAGGCAGCATGCAAGAGACCTACAGATTCTGTCACTGGAGCTCCCCTATGCTTAACAGCCGCTTCTATTTCGTTCTCTTAGTTCTAAAATGTCTGTTTTAGTCTTCATCCTCTGCATTTGCCTTAAGAGGATGATCAGCATGTTATGTACTGGTTTACAGCTAGGCAGCAATATCTGCACCTTTTGACCCTGCACATGCAGTTTAGCAAGACCTTAGTTACTTGTTTTATGTGAGATAGGATTGTTATGGGTCCATGGAAATGTTCCTTCTCCTCAAGATGAGACCCTGGCACCTGCACGGGGCCTCATGTTTAGTGTGTGAGGGAGCTCTTATGTCAACAAAATCATGTATGCAGCCCTCGCATGGATCAGATACCACGTATTGGATGAAAAAAATACATTATCAGAGTGCTAGTAATTGCCCCAGCTAAATGTATAAACACACTATTCTAGTCACACATGTTGCATTGCTGCACACAGAAAGAGTTCATTGATGCGAAATTAATCTGATCTTTTCCAGAAACCTGGTGGGCTAATTTTCCCAGATAAAGCATCGCTGTATGTGACAGCCATCGAGGACAGGCAATACAAGGATGAGAAAATCAATTGTAAGAATTGGCTTTGATGTGAATGTTTATGTTAATTGTTTTGTCAGTGACTGCCATTGTGGTGGTATTGTTTTGTTGAAGCAGGGTATTGGTTCAGATGGTTGGTTTATGTGGACCATTGAAGTAGCGACGTACATCATGACAGTTTTAGTATGTTTTCTTGTTGCAATAGCATATTGGTTATTAGAGTATTTTATTTTTTATTTATTCTATTATTCTAATATTCTAATAAGTTATAGCATTCTTTATAATTTTTATTGTAGCTTTATTTTTTTATATTAATCATTACAGAATTATTTATCCAAGCATTGTTGATAATATGGTTTGTAGCGTTAAATTATTGATTAACACAGAATTTGTAGTATTAATCTTAGCAGAATGTGTAGCATAAATCGTACTAGCATTTTATACTGATCATAGTGTGATTTGTAATAATACAGAAATTATTTATAGAGTTTGTAACAATGATTGTAGCTGAGCCTAATATTAGTGATAGTGTAACATTGATTGTGACTGAACCTCATATTAGTGAGTGTATCATTGATTGTTACTGAGCCTGATATTAGTGGTAGTGTAACGTTGATTGTTACTGAGCCTGATATTAGTGGTAGTGTAACGTTGATTGTGGCTGAACCTAATGTTAGTGATAGTGTTAGATCAATGACATGGCATTAAATGCCCCCCCCCCCCCCCCCCAATTTGTTTTTATTTCTCTCCGAAATCTTTAATAAGCTGATGTCTGTAATATGCTAATCCAATATTTTATAGAGCTGCTTGCTCTTGATCGCTGGGGTCAATTGTTAGAATTCACCAGGAAATTCTGGTTCCCAAACTTGCATTTCATATGCTTATTTGTATACATTCTGCGCTCCTTGCCACCCAGGCAGATTGTGCTCCTTGCCACCCAGGCAGATTGTGCTCCTTGCCACCCAGGCAGATTGTGCTCCTTGCCACCCAGGCAGATTGTGCTCCTTGCCACCCAGGCAGATTGTGCTTTGACTTCGGAGAAAAAATACTCCTAAATTAATTTGCCTCACACGATTGTTTTCGAGAGGCAGTGACTGTTATTTTCCATTCCATTTCAATAGTGCCCTGGAACCCGCATAGGAATGTTTAGCAGTAAAAGTTAGAAAATGTTCATGCTCACTGTTGCATGGTAATTACTTCTTCATTTTAACATATAACAAATGTAGTTTGACATGGATTTCAACACATTAATTACCACTGCGTGTCAGACAAGTCAACTAGTCCTTTACAACTTTTGTAATATTTGTCAGTGCAGTTATTAAGATATGGTTTACCTAAAAGTGTTTTATGTTGCAGATTATTTTATATATATATATATATATATAAAAATATATATATATAAAAATATATATATATATATATATATATAAAAATATATATATATATATATATATATATATATATATATATATATATATATATATAAAAATATATATATATATAAAAAAAATATATATATATATATATATATATATATATATATTTTTATATATATATATTTTTATATATATATATTTTTATATATATATATTTTTTTATATATATATATTTTTATATATATATATATATTTTTTTATATATATATTTTTTTATATATATATTTTTTATATATATATATATATATTATATATATATATATATATATATATATAAAATGTTATCTTTTTTAATCTACAGGGTGGGATAATGTATATGGGTTTGATATGGGTTGCATACGTGATGTGGCTGTGAGAGAACCCTTGGTGGATGTTGTAGATCCCAAACAAGTTGTTGCCGATTCATTCTTGGTCAAGGTAAGAGTTGTAGGTCTTGCATTTTCCTCCCATGGCGTGGTTTTACCAAAACAGTGTCAGCACTAGGCTGTTGTAGATTGGTGCTCAGTTGTCAGCTGGAACACTCCAGCAGTGACCACATTGTACTTTAAACTTGACCAGCGTAAACAGGTGCCCAGACCAAGCATTGCTGGCTTTTTCTTCAAGATCCTATGAAGTACATGAGCCTCTGCAACAGCACACGGCTGTTGTGAACAAGGAAATTACTCATACAGTTCTCTCAGTTGCAGGAAGAAGGAGCTATATAGAATCTATTTTATGTCTGTGAGGATACATGGACAGGAAGCAGACAGACAATATGAGCAATGTCTAATGGTCTTGGAAGTGTGTTTTATGATGAACAGGCAAAGAATACAATGGACGGACATGATAACAAAAGATTTACTTTAAGAAGCAGGGAAACACCTTTGCATAGGAAAGTTCTGGTTGTTAATCCACATCTTGTCCCAGAGTTGAGTTTGCATCCACATCCTTTTTTTTTCGACGGACCTGGCTTTTTGTATGCAGACTGTTGGTTCCTTACCGCTCAGACAGATGCACTTTAGCTGCCCCCCCCCCCCCCCCCCCCCCCTATGTGGGGCGCCGAGACACACCGGGAACGCCATCAATTGAGAAAATTGAATATATTTATGAGAAAGAAATTTGAAAAAGCAGCTTGCAAGAGAAATGTGAAAAGAGGCAACGGAAGAGATTTGAACTGATATTTCGTTTCCATGGTCAATATATTTTTGATTTAAACACCCGAAGTCTATATTCTTACGAATAAATATTTCTCTTTGCGTTTATTCTCGCAGGAAGTGGACATCTACACTGTGAAAGAGGAGGACATTGCATTTTCAACTCCGTTCCGTTTGAACTGTCTGCGTAATGACTACATGCACGCCCTGGTTACTTTCTTCACTGTTGAGTTCTCCAAGTGTCACAAGAACATTGGCTTCTCCACATGTAAGTGCTTGCTGTTTTTGTCTTTCCTTCTCCATATGTAAGTGCTTGCTGTTTTTGTTCCTCCACATGTAAGTGCTTGCTGTTTTTGTCTTTCCTTCTCCACATGTAAGTGCTTGCTGTTTTGTTCCTCCACATGTAAGTGCTTGCTGTTTTTGTCTTTCCTTCTCCACATGTAAGTGCTTGCTGTTTTTGTTCCTCCACATGTAAGTGCTTGCTGTTTTTGTCTTTCCTTCTCCACATGTAAGTGCTTGCTGTTTTTGTTCCTCCACATGTAAGTGCTTGCTGTTTTTGTCTTTCCTTCTCCACATGTAAGTGCTTGCTGTTTTTGCCTTTCATTCTCCACATGTAAGTGCTTGCTGTTTTTGTCTTTCATTCTCCACATGTAAGTGCTTGCTGTTTTTGAATTTCATTCTCCACATGTAAGTGCTGGCTGTTTTTGTCTTTCATTCTCCACATGTATGTTCTTGTGTTCCAGATTTTCAGTCTCAAAAATGAGTTGGGGGAGGGGGGGGGGAATATTTGATGTGCCAGGGCTCATACTGATAAACACATATCTGCATCTCTAAATGGTCAACCTAGAAACCTGTTTCATAATTCATTGTTTTCTTCAGGAGTGGGTGCAGTTTTGCCCTACATTACGAAGCGAGTTTGACACGAAAAAAAACACGCAAAAGATACAACATGACAAAAAGACGTAGTTGTACTAGTGAGGTGATATAGGTTGATTTATTCTTTGGTTAAATCTGGACATTGTTAGTTAAATAATACTTAATATTTGGGGTTGAATTAATATTTCTGTTTTGGTTTCAGCCCCTGATTCTCGGTACACACATTGGAAACAGACTGTGTTCTACCTGGGTGACAATGAATTGACTATCAAGAGAGGCGAAGAGATTAATGGTGTCTTTTCTCTGACCCCAAACAAGCAGAACAACGTAAGTGCACTTTAGGTTGTAAAATTTTCTTCCTGTGCGTTCTCTTAAAGGGACGGTTGGCGTTGCATTAGTGTTTAGAAACTAGATTGTGATATCTGTCCGTCAGCCGCTACCGATTTCAGCAAACTCTTAGGTAGTAGTTAGCTTTTTAGTTTTTCTCCATTTATAGACTTTGACTGTCGAACATGGTTTGAGGTTTTGAATTCCATATTTAGAAACTAGTAAGTGGCTTCTTCCCAAAGAGCTGGTGAGGGTTTATGCGCCTAATTGCTCCTGCGACTGCTGATTTGTTACAACTGCCCATATAGCAGACTGTTTATGTTGGCACTTCTGGCAACTGCCTCATGGGTGTGGATTTGCTGATACCGGAGTCTTTGTCAATTTTTATTCACAAGTGACAGTTGGAACTGAATGAATATGGGGTGACTTGTTTGCTGTGAACTCTGATATGTCTTGGGTATATCCTAGCACAAAAATGAAACTTGCAAGCAGTGACTGACTGCTTGCTATTTGAATCACACCCATCTAGATTGTCCTGAACATTGAGTTACTGAGAAAACATGTCCAGATGATGGTGATGATGTTACTCACTGACATGAGACATTTATCCTCAGAATTGGGATTAACTTTTGAAATAGTTTACTTCACAGTCATGTGTGCGTGTGTGACAGAGGTAAGAGACAACAATTTGCATACAAATAAGCCAGATCTGTAACATGGATCTGCAGGCAAAACTCAGTTCTGAAACAAAACCAGAAGTGGATGAGCAACCTTCTGTTGCAGTTAACAGCCATGTTCTTTTCCTGTGTGGATTCCGTGGCCCTGTAAAAAAAAAATAGACCCGCTGCCTACCCAAAAGAATGTCATAAGAGTCAACTAGTTGGAGCTTTCTTTAAAGTCAGAGTGCATCTGCCTGAGAGGCAAGGAACCAGTAGTCTGCATACAAATGAGCCAGATCTGTGAACGTGTAGAAGAAGACAGCCCGTGAATGGCAAAAAAGAAAACTAGGGAGCTGTTTAATTTTTTAAAAGAAGCATGCTATACTCTGCTGCCTTATTAGTTGAGTAAGTAATGATACAAGTATAGACATATTGTAATTATATAAGTGAAAACGTATTTTAATAATACCATGAATGAATTTACCTACAGAGAGATCTAGACTTCACAGTCAGCGTAGACTTTCACGGAGAGCTTTCTGATGCTTCTTGCAGTCTTAACTACAAGATGAGGTAGAGGTCCACCTGGGAACACTGTCCTTTGATGGTTGCCTGTCTGTGCTGCATTAGTTCAGATGTACGTTCAAACTTTGGTGTGCAATTTGTATGTCAGCATTTCATATCACTGTTATCCTCTGATGTTGTTTTGTTTACAATGAAACTGATAATTTGCAATGTGTGGATGATCTTTTTTTGTTCTTTGAATGAACTTTTTAATAAAAGCAGATGTTTTTGTAATGTTTGAATGCTGATGAGATGACTTAGTGAATTAATGTATCTGGTTGAAATCACAAATGTGAAGAAATTGTAGTAACCGGGATTTTTAAATCACATATTTGTGGAATTTGTTGGTGGCAAGGTGTATTAAGATCACAGAATTAAGAGACCTAGTTGTTCATTTTCTGTGTAAAAATCTTATGCATTCACCCTTTAACTCTCTCATCACACATTAATAGGTTCCTACATAGAAGCCCAATGAACGCAAGATGTGCACATATTACATTTTTCTTTACCAACCCTTGGGTCTGATATTCAAACTGCTGGGACTAAAAGTTAAATGTCTGTGTTAACAATTATTAAAGTTCAGAAGATGTGGAGAAACATGATCACAAACACCATTAAATGTACTTGATCATTCTACGTTTAACCACAGCAGCTCACTTGCCATCTTTTAAGTAAACCTTTAGCAACCGTTGTTCACTCCTCTACTTGTCATAGCTCGTCGACAAACTCCATCTCAGTAGTTTTTAGATACCAAGCTGCGCCAGTAGACACGCTTTCCTCATGACAACTATACATCCGTATCAATGTTTGCATTGTTAGCTCTTTATTTTTGGCTATAGTCATCACCCAGCTGCAATGTTGACAATTTCTGTTTGGGTACCTTTCATCGACAGTTATTTGTTACTTTGCAGAATGCCAAAGTTCAAACCCTATGGGTTTTTTAAAGGTTATTTGTCAGATTTTCCTATTAGGGTCACAGCGGTCTCCTGATAAATATATTTCTAGACTCTAGGGAGTTTTCTTGATTTAATGATTGACTCTGTTGGTGTTCATTGAATACTTCTTTTGTTGCTAGTATATTAACACACACACACCAAGACCCTTTTCAATGTAGGCACTGTTTTCATGGATACATAATGTATGTCTGGGTGTGGTAGAATCCAGACGCCAAATTTTTAAAACCCTAAAATAAATGACATTTGTATTTTCAGCGTCACTAGCTCTTGTATTTTTATGTTAAATCTTCAGTTTTCATACATTGTAATTACAATTCTTGAGTTTTCATACATTGTAATTAAATTCTCGGGATTTCGATCATTTGTTAGATGTTTCTTTTAAAAGTGTGTTTGATCAGATTTGCATATTTAATGTTAGTTTTTAGGTGCAGTTTCAGCTTCATAAACTTAATAGGTCACCCTATTATGTGCACTTTTTGCAAGCAAATACCAGACAAGAGTATTTTTACTGTCCCATTTGGGGGGAAAATGGAAGACCACAGTCCTGGCAAAGCCTACTGCGTGCACAAGCATTAAATGCCTAAGACAGCTGCCACACCTCGTCTGTCATTGGTTGCAATTCATGGACCACAGATCAAGCAGTGCTTTGTTTGTGCCTGGCGTGATTCTTTAAATTGCAAGAGGGTTGTTTATTTTAACCATCTATCCCAAGGTGTTAAGAGAAATTTAGCTTGAGAACATTGAAGGTTTTTGCAGAACGGAGACAAGCCCCTAGACATGATGTGAGATTGTGAGCCAACATTGGCCACTTTACATTTATCTGCAGGAGAGAGGGCTGCACGGTTTCTAGGCATGGTGTCCGCCTAGAGTGCTAGAGGTTCCGGGTTCACTCCCCAGTAAGAGCTGTGATTTTTTTACATGGACTCTGGTCTTCTAGTATTTCCCCCTGGTCCATGGATAGTGAGATCGGACGTCCGGGTGTATTGTTGCGCACGTAAAAAATCCCTCGACAGTTAGAAATCGAAAAGAGTAACTTAACGGCGCCACCTGATCAAAATTTGGAATAATCTACCCAAAGTGTTTCAGGATCCTTGCCAGTGCTACAGAGCTTGTGCACTGCTGAGCTTTAGAGTCAGAAGTACGGAGCATTTATGGGTTACTGTCTGTGTGCCGTGATGTTGATAGGTTATTTAAAATGTCTAGACTTATCTGCAGGAGATGATTTTCTGCATTGTCCTTGGTCATGGGCATCTTGTGGCTTACAGTTGGGCTGTGATATCTGCACCTTTCGGCTCATCACAGTTCAATCAACAAAACCTTTGCGACATGCTTGTTGGGGGTGTGGGTAGTTAGTTCCTCCACACAGAGGAATGCTCTGATATATTCATAACTGTCAACTCTGTATGTTTGTGGTTTAGGAGGCCCTTATTTCTTTCTATGAGCGCTAATCAATACAGTCTGTTTTAGGTATTTATGGGAGGTTCAATTGCAAGGCATGAAAGGTACACAAACTACTTTCTTCTACGTCGACCTAAAGTGGGTGCCTGGAAATATGCCAAGTAAAAGTTGACATCAGTAATTAAGTGCCGACTGAACTACATGTGGTGCTGCACATTAGCTGTCTCACCAGCATTATGGGCCCCTGGGCAAAGCAATGTGCTGAAACCCCTACAAAAACCACCCACTGGAATTCAATTATTTATGGAAAGGCACTTGACATTGATAAGCATGGGGTCCCGACAAGTAGCCATGATTGAAGACGTCATTGGTCAAGACATACATCGTGTCTGCACTTCTCAGTTACTCCTAGAACACCATGGCGCTTGACCGAAATATTTCAAAGATTCTTTTTATCACCCAATATTTCATGATGTTCAGATCTTTTAAAATGTCAGTATTACTTTTCTTCTTTATCTGTGGTATTCTGAACAATCTTTATGTAGCATTTCAGCTCAAAAGACGTATCAATCTAAAAGTTTGCTGAAGGCTAAGGACAGTCTAAAGCTATGTGGATGTGAAAAACAAGGGGAAACTACCACACTATCCCAAAAAACTTGAGGATACACAACAAACGCACGGTAATTAAATCTTTTTAGTTGAACGGGTATCTGGTTTTTGCCCTGTTGGTCTACCATCCAGAATAGTATTTTATAATCCACAATGAGTGTGAAACCATCAGCTAGTAGCCAGCTGTGAAAAACAATCAGTTTTGGGCAGACAACAAACTCCACCTTCTGTGTGATTCTCGCCCCTGAGGTGTTAATTCTGCAGACATCTGTCCTGAAGAGCACCTGCTGTGACCACCAGCAAGAATGCATGAGTTAAGTGTAAAAGATGACATTAATTCTCCCTTGCAGATGTTCATGAACTCACCAGTTTCTACTACAGAGGGGGACCAGAGACGAAGATGAAGTTCAACAAGATTAGGGATCTAAAATAACCATCAGGCCCCCTGAATTTCAATGCCCTCTTTAACATTATGAGGGACATCCCGCGTTCAACACCATCCAATATTCCCCAAAAAATTAATACGAGGGGCTTCACCCTTAAACCTTAAATGGCGAGTGGTGGCCCAGTATGGTTATGTATGCGTGTAGGTCCAGCAAGTGTACGAATAGAATCCAGAGTTTGTTCCCCTTCAAGGGCTGCAATCGACTCTGGGTTAACTACTCGGTGTGCCTGACCCGGTCGTGAACTGTGTCACGCCGTTAGAAACTTCGGTACAACTCACGTTTCTGGGCCCAGGCACCGCCCGCTTACACACTAGGTCACTTGTCATTCATACTTCGTCAACTTTGCTGAAGGCTCAAGAGGAAACACTAACTAACTACGATGTCCTAGAGGGTCTTCATTGTTAAGTGTCTGAATAAATCTGTCTGTTTGTCCTAAAAGTCCTGTAACATTTTCGTGTCTACAATTTTCCAGCTAATCGGCATAAAGTTACAAGTTTCTTATTTGCACTAAGGTGGCGTTATAAATTGTTCGAGTGAGAAAGCGCTCGCTACACATTATCCACCGGTGGCTAATTGGAGTTGTGCATCTTATATCGAATTTGCGCCGCTCACTTCTGCGAATAAACCTAGACAAAAATCAGCGAGCGCTGTGACAGTGTGATGTTTATTGACTTTCCTCTACAGGTAATTGTGTAATTTTGTTTGTGAGAACATGAACAGTCAGCCCTGAGGGTAAATAAATAGAAGGCTAGTTGACTTGTAGTTTACATGTTAAGAGCTGATAAATTAACATATTTTCCGTGCACGTTTTGATGCTCCGTTGGGGTTTTGTAAAGGGGGGGGGGGGGTGTACACTACCTTTTCTATGTATAATTCATATCCAAATGTCACAATTTATATTTTTTCCAGTTTTCTATATGTCTTGGTAAGAGCGGAGTTTCAAAGCCTCTTTAGTTGAAAACTAAACCAAGAAACAGATTCATTGTTGAGAACGACATGAGGTTGGTGTTAACGAAAACTCAATCGCAAATTTGTTAGTTTGTTAATGAGTTACAATTTCCGTCATCGCAAAAATATAATATAAATTAACATTATTTCGAATCCCATTATACCGGGAAAAAAAAGTTTTTCCTCGCGTTTCTATATAAGTGAGAAAAAAAAAGTTAAGATCCCCTTTAACGCCTTAGGCGCATCGGGCACATGGGAAGAACACACATATTTTTACAGACCAACCGGCACTAGATGGGTAATGTGGTCAGCATTACGTCGGCCGTCTTTACTTCTTAAGGACAGCTATCCTGGTACCCATTTTAGGCTGGGTCGACCTGCAACGCCTCGTACCATGATAAAAATCCACGTAGTCAGCAGTGGGTTTCGATCGCGGTATGTTGGATTACGAGTCGGACTCGCAACGCATAAGCCACGAACGCCGCGGCGTTTCTATATACCCTATTAAAAAGCATCCTTTCGAGCCTGGTTGGTTGCTTCCTTGTAATCCTAGAGTGTGCTAGACCAGCAAGATCTGCAGTGTTGTCGGGACCCTTTGTGATTTGCTTCTTGTGCTTCTAATGAAATCCTTTACTACAGTACTGATGTCTCTTCTT